ATCGACGAACAATACTTAATCCAGTGAGTCGGAGTCGGATTATGACTTATGCCCACTTGCACCGTTAGTTAGAGGTTTAAATTTTAACAAACGTTTATTTTCCGTAACTGACTTGCACCGCAAGTTAATCCTTGCTTAAGTACCTCTACACTGCTGTTAAAATAAACCCCAATTTCGGTGGTTTAAAATCACAGTTAACAATTTTTGGGTCTAACGACCTAGATATAGGTCCAAATAAAAACGGCATTATTTTTTTTTTGAGAAAGATTCGAAACAAGTAGAAACGTTTAAGCTATAATCTATATATATAAAAATCAAAGTTCACGGGGTATCCGGATATGCGCTCTAAAACCACTTATCCGATTACGATGAAACTTTGGTAAGTTATTATGGCCATCCCAAGGAAGGTTTGTGGATAGGTTACGCATCTCGGAAAAAGAAACTAATTTTGAATTAATTATTAATTTAATTGTAAACAAACTCATTCACATTACATAACAACATAACCCAACTTTTTTTGACAGCATGAAATAACGTTGACATATTTCATTTATTTAGGCTTGCATTCAACCGACGTAACTTTATTATTTTTTGAATTCAAGAACGGCTGGACCGATCTTGAATTAATACCACGTATCTCTATATAAGGTGACTTCGATTGACCCAGATTTGAGCGATTTGGGTTCAATTTAAGTGAACTTCTTCTGATCTAGATAATTTTTTTGTTGATGAGGGTGCACTGATCCAGCTTGAATCGAACACAGTGTGGTTAATTTAAATTGAACCAGATCGATCTAATCCGGTCAATCGAATAGGCTATAGAGGAGAGTGATATAGGCTATTTTTTATCCCGAAAAGTTCGGTTGCGCAAAACTCTGATACACTGGAACGCCTATAAACAGCCCAGGGCGCTCTAGAGCAGCTCTGGAGTGCTTCTTAAAATGCGTCACTAAACTGGCAAGCGACTCTGGTTTGACCTGAATTTAATTCAGCTACTAGATACGTTAACACAACATTTAATAGTGGAGGTTTTCTTGGGAGTCAGTCAGGTTGAAAAATGAAACAATTTTTTTTTTTTTTATGTTTCGGAATTTTCATTTAATTCCATCCTCAGAAATAGCAAAGTCAAAATTGTAAAAGCTAAAAATATATATATTTTTAGCTTTTTCAAAAACTATTTCAAAAAAACAGTCAAGAAACCGCATCAAAAAATACAACATTTAATAGGTATTTAACTCAGAGATATTTACTAATTCGCCGGGTCAGCTATGGTTCATTTTTTCCCAAGATAGATTTTGACATTGAAAGCTTTTAAATATAAACAATACCGCTTGGCTCTGATTGGTCGCAAAATGAGGTGTCCCTGCAGGTTGACAATGCATGTCGTGAAAATGGCATTTTGCGACCAATAGGCGGCATTAGCGGCATTGTTTATGTTTCAAAGTTGACAATGTCAAAATCTATCGTGGGAAAAAATAGACTGTAGTGTTATGATAAATATTCATGTTTTAAAATATACGAATTTTCCTTTAAAAAATATACAGTAGTTGTAGATTATTTTTTGAATAAACCTAGGGTAAACCCAAACATAAAGCGCTGGTAAAGTATAGTGACGGTTAACCAAAAGATTTTGGTATACCTGAGATTGTGGAATGAAATTTTACTAGTTAACCCTAATCCGTCAGACATCTTCTGGTCACTATCGATTGTGATAATGGACCTTAGTGCGATATCAGACAATATCTCCTTACAGGGTGATGCAAGAAAAAAAAAGCTAATTTACAAAGTTGTTTGATACTCTTATATGCATTAGTTGAAAATATTTTTGAATATACAAGGGCTCCGTTTTCGGGGTATACGACAGAACTTTCTTATTTTAAATGGAACACCCTATATGTGGTTGCATATTTGAATTCTACGGTAAATTCTGAGTAGATTTCATGTAATATACCCTATACCTAAGCTCAACTGTTTTGTATATATTCACAGTTGAAAATTGACTTTTTGCAACTTTGACAGGCTGTAAAACAACGGTTAATTTTAGAGAAAAACCGATTTTACATTCTTATCTTAGATTTTCATAAGCTATCATTTGACACCAACTTTGAATTTAACCAGAGATTAAATTTAACTGGAATTTTTAATCATGGATTAAATTCAAAATAGGTGTCAAATGATAGTTTATAAAAATCTAAGATAGGAATGTAAAATCGGTTTTCGTGTAAAATTAACCGTTTAGATTTTACAGCCTGTCAAAGTTGCAAAAAGTCAATTTTCAACTGTCAATATTTACTAAAGAGTTGAACTTAGGTATAGGGTATATTGCATGAAATCTGCTCAGAATTTTACGTAGAATCAAAATATGCGATCCTATACATGGTGTTCCATTTAAAAAACAAAGTTCTGTCGCATACCCCATAAACGAGCACCCTGTATATTCAAAAATATTTTTAACTAATTCATAATAGAATATCAAAAAACTTTGCTATTCAGTTTTTTTTTTTCTTGCATCACCCTGTAAGGAAATATCGTCCGATATCGCACTAAGTGAACACCCTCTATATTTGGAATCAGGAAGAAAAGATCTTTCATTTTAACGCATAATATACAGGGTGTTCCATTAAAAAAAGTCGAAGTTGTCTACTTTTCTCCATTTTCCGATGCAGACCAACTTTGTTTTTCCAAATGAAACACCCTGTATGTGATTGCATATTTGGATTCTACGTAAAATTCTGAGCAGATTTTATGTGATATATCCTACCTAAGTTCAACTGTTTTGGAAATATTGACAGTTGAAACTTGCCTATTTTTCAACATTGACAGGCTGCAAAACCTAAACGGTTAAATTTAGAGCAAAACAGATCATACATTCTCATCTAAGTGTTCCATAAACTCATCATTTGACACCAACTTTGAATTCAATCCATGATTAAAAATTCCGTTTAAACTTAATCTCCGATTAAATTCAAAGTTGGTGTCAAATGATAGTTTATGATAATATAAGATAAGAATGTTAGATCGGTTTTCCGTTTAGGTTTTACAGCCTGTCAAAATTGCGAAAAAGTCAATTTTCAACTGTCAATATTTCCAAAATAGTTGAACTTAGGTATAGGGTATACCACATGAAATATGCTCAGAATTTCACTTAGAATCCAAATATGTAATAACATACAGGGTGTTTCATTTGAAAAAACAACATGGTCTGAATAGCAATCAAACCAGAAGTGACAGAAACAATTTGCCAGGGTCACTATTTCGTATACGAGGTAATTAAAAAGGTACAGGTAATATGGGCGACTTTTTTGCCACTCTGTATCAAGAAAAAAACTGTCAAGTTTTGTAATTGAAATTTTTTCCTATCTTAAATAGTAAAGGCTGTAGGTATGAGCTTAAATATAATCAAGTACCGCTTGGCAATAGGCATTTAAAGTCGAGCTCTGATTGGCTTTTGCTAATATGGTGTACTTTATGCCCGCACCATTTAGGGGCAGAACCTGCAACGGCTTAGCAATCCAAATTAATCAATAATAATCAAGAAAATGCAGACTTACCCAAAATAACCAACAACACACTTTCATCTAGTCATAATTTGCATAGCGATATTCCTCAAGGTTCAGTGTAGGGACCATTATTGTTCATAGCTTATATTAGTGATTTATCATCTGAGGTAACATTGTCTATAGCTTACTTTGCTGACAGCACAAAATTGTTTGGCCACCCTATACAACATCTGATTGAAGAAGCTTTGAGAGTAATACATGAAGTGACTAGAAAATAGAGGCTGCGCCTTAACTCCAACAAGTGTGCAGTTCTTCATCTGGGAAAAAACAATCCTCATACTCACCTTGCGTTCGGTATTTTGCTCAAAGAGCAGAGCGTGCTGAGCGGAGCCGTAATCACGTGACCAGTGAGCGAACAGAGCAGTTGAACGATGTATAAAAGTGCCAGAAATTTTAATAAATGAACGCGAATGAGGCTGCACCGAGTACACTTTTTAAATAAACGAACGGTAAAGTCAAGCTCGGAGAACTCGGACCAAAATAACGAACGCACGGTCAGTATGAGCTTGAGGATTCTTTAGTTTAAAATGTGGAATAGCAAAAAGATCTTGGAGTTTTAGTCAGTGATAATTTGAAATAGGAACCTCACATTGCAAATATTGTTAAGAAATCGAATACACTCATTTATCTCATATAACGAGTATTTTGTAATACCTCAAGAAATGGTATCTAAACTTTATGCAAAACGCTAGCAATATGCTGAAACATGAAGAGAAGTTTTATCGAAAAATTATTGTCAGAAATTTGAAGTTTTGCGTACTTTCAACTTTTTTTAAATGGAATGCCCTATATTTGGTTATATATTCTTGGAGAGCACAATTTTTCGATTCCAGAAATATATAGTTTGTCTATATTTGGTGGAGCCGTCTTCATCATATTTGGCTCTAAAAATTGTGAAAATACTATTCTACTGAGTTAGATTTTGTCACCTGTAAAGGTGAAAGCTGCAGGTAAAATTTGAGGCACTTGGTTCCTCTGATAGTATTTTTATAATTTTTAGAGCCAAATATGCTGGAGACGGCTCAACCAAATATAGATAAACTATATATGTTTAGATTCGGAAAATTGTGCTCTTCAAGAATATATATAGAATGAAATATAGAGCATTTTATTTCAAAAAGGTTGAAAGTACACAAAATATCAAATTTCTGACAATAATTTTTGTTTCTGACGATGGATTCTAAAAATTAAGCTCAAACTGCACAACTTTTGTATTTACACCTATCATCTACGTGTTAAGGTAAAAGCTGCAGGGGGAGGGTTAAAAGATAGTGAATAACCCTGTAATTACATGTACTCCTCTTGAATTTATTTTGGTCATTCCTATTTAGGAAATGAATGAAATATTAACAACTTCCAAACCAGGCTCAGTCATCCACATCCAGATATTGAATTATTGTGATGAAAACACATTGTAACATTTGTATTCTCTTATTTTAGTGTGGTGCCAGAGGAAGTTTTTCGACAGTCTATTGTTATAGATGTGTCAACCAGAGAAAACTTAGATGTGCCTTGTGTCACCTAATCGGTCACTCGAGTGAAGGCTGCCCGGATCTTTGGAGACGATATCACTCGACCACCAAACGGGGTCCAGTGGTAGTATCCAAGGACAATAGGTTAAAACCGAAAAATCTACGATGGTGCTCGGGATGCGCCGCAAACGGACATTTAGAATTTCAGTGCAAGAGTTATCGGTGGCTCAGGGAGTACCCTGTAACGTCGCCTATTATATTTGAATGGCATGACGTATACGATAGCGTAAGTATAATTGTTGCGAAAAAAATTCTTGGCATATCTGAAGCACAAGGAAATTTTATTTCAGAAAAATGATGAGTCAGTGGGGAAAGCCTTTGACTTGAGAGGGATATTGGATTCAAACCGTGAAAACACATCAGACTTGAGAAAGAAACTGGATGAGAGGAGGATGAAAAGCAGTACCAACAGCATCGCATCTACAGCTGACACCACTCAAACAGATGCTGATAATAATACCAATGCCAAATCTCAAACATCCCAAACTTCTACAGAAACTCCAAAGGTTTCTCAACCTCCTTCGACAGAAAGTCCCCTACCTCCTGAAGGTCCTCAGATTCTTCAAGTTTGCCAGACACAAAATCCTATTCTAAGTGCAGAAAGAAGTCTGAATGTTTCTCCTAATAAACCAGACATAAACATAAATAAATCAAAAAAAAGAAGACAGAATCGAGATCGAAGACCAAATCCCGTGTCCTTTATGAACAATAGGCACGCTCAGTATGAAACTAGAAACTGGTCAAACGAGAGGTATCAAAGTGTACTCAATCCTAACTTGGGAATGGACAATAGGCCTTACCCAAACCAAATACAGCAATTTCCAAACCAACCTCAGCAATTTCCAAACCAAATACAGCAATTTTCAAATCAATTCCAGCAATTTTCAAATCAAATTCAGCAATTTCCAAATCAAATTCAGCAATTTCCGAATCAAATTCAGCCCTTCAACCAAATCCAGCAGCTGAACTTGTTCAATCCGATTCCTGCATTTTATCAACCGCCACGATATTACGATTTTACCCGGGATAATGAACGTTGGAATGATAATAATCCACAGGTGAGTTGAAATATTCAAATCATGAACACTATACAGGGTGGTCTGTTTAAATTGAGGCAGTTTTATAGATTTTAGGGGAATGGAAACCCTGAGTTTTTATTTTATTTTGATGACCTTATTATTTCTATGGTTGATGAGGCAAGTTATGATAAAACCCTCAAGAAGGTTCTTTATAGAGCACTCAAAAGCAATGTAAAGGTTAATTTTTAAAAAATTCAGTCTATCTAAACCTAAGCTAGTCACAGTTTGGTGTTAATTTTCAATGAAATCATTTGAAAAATGTTGGCATCCTATTTCATCTTCAAATTGTCAAAAAATCCAACTTAAAGTAAATTGGTTCTATTTTTCAGATGTTTACCAGGTTGACTTATGAGAAACCTCGACCACTCTTAGATATCGCCTTTTCTCCACCCAACAATCGACATTTGCCCGTTAGAAATTTCTCTAGTAGAGATTTTTCGAATGCTCCTTTTACTATTACTCGTGAGCCTTCCCCAAGATTGTTGGAGTTTTCTGGACCACACCAATCAGAAATGGTAAGTGCACCTCTTAACAACCAGCCATTTGATGGATCAGCGTCTCGACCACAAGAGGCCAATGAAGAAAATGTATCTTTTCACAACCCTTCAGTTGTGTTGTTAGAGGGAATAGAGGGATCAATGGAACCAAAAGATAATGAAGGTTTTAAAGTCAAAGAAGCTACAAAAGATAAGTTCTTAACTTTGTCAGTAAATGAACTTCGGAATTTTCTAGAGTGTGAACTAGGAAAACTGGATGAAATAAAAAATCCCGATCCGAGACTATACAAAAAGAAACTATCAGTTATTAATCAATTAAAGAAAGTAGAAGTCAAAACGAATGCCATCAAAAAACAAATGTATTTTCACTTTAAACACATCAACATGTACTTATTTGGCATTCACAAATTGCTAGAGGGCAGAAAATATATTGGCCTTTTGAGAAATTTTGTTAATCATCCAGGGAAATCTTTAACTAAAGACAAAAGAGTATATTTGCTGAAAGCCTTCAATTATATTTTTGGTGGGGAAAATATATTTTGTAACTATATGAAGTGTTTGGATATTGTTTGTATAAAATTCTCAAAAAGAAAGACAAAGACATGATGTTAAATAAAGGTTTTTTTATAATATTAATTACATATTTTGTTGAATTTATAGATTTATTACAAACATACTAAGACTGTGAATGAAGTTATATTTTATTTTTGTTATAAGTAGTAGGATATTAGAGTATCAGATGTCAAATAGTAAAGTAGTCTAATTAGTATTAACATACTTAGGCCAGAGACGAGCTTTGGATACCCTCCAGATACTGCCATATTGAATTTATTAATTTTCCTCCTCTTGCATTGGTTAGCTTGCCAAAGATATTTTATGCTATTTCACCGATTCACCAGTTTGTTCGTAGAACCGTTGATTAGAGCAGCATGAATTTTCAAGAACAATTTGTGATTTGATTGTACATATATTGATTAGAAATTTTCCTTTTCCCAAACCGTCGAAATTATTGTTATTGATTAATGTATCAACCTCTAATTATTGTGTTCTTACTTCAGAATCGCTACGCCACGCTTGATAAGATTAGAGAATTTCTTTTTTCTTCACAGTTGTCTTTTATATATCAGGAAACTTTCCGAAAACGATACTCCTATTAAGCGCTTCCAGAAATTGTCCAATGATAATTTCAAATTCATTGGATTTATCCCACCCATGCCTACTATTGTTTTAGCTTTGTAGTTTTGTCACTGTGTTCTACAAATCTGAAAATTCTTGTTAAAAAATGTGAATCGAGACAGGAAAATTAAAACAACCATACGCACGAGTTCTGTATAACGACTGTTATTTATTCAATTATTCGTCATGGTTACCAAACATTTGCTGATGCTGACAAGCAAGATATACAATGGAATAAATCAGAACATATTTTGCTATGATAGATGGAGCCACATATCAGTAGAAAGTAAATATCACATGGTCACTATAGGTAATTTTCAATATTACAACCAACAACCCCACTTGTTGAAAATTACCTAAGCCTAAATTTTTAACAAATTTATAATGCTTATGGCCGTTTGCACTGACCATTTTAAGGGAGGTTTAACGATAATCAATGTTTAAAGTGACATTTTTGCATGTAAAAATGTCACTTTAAACGTTAATTATTGTTAAACCTCCCTTAAAATGATCGGTGCAAATAGCCGTTAGTTGAAGTCAAATCTTTTGTTAGGACATCAGCAATAATTTCAGAAGTACACAAATATTTAATATCAACTTGTTTATTCATAACAACTTGTCTTATGAAATGATGCTTTACATCAATCTTTTGTGAATAACTGGGTTAGCTACTAACATTTGCGCACTTTGGCTATCATTAAACAACACAATACTATCATTATAACCAATTAATTCAAACATCAAAAATATATCTTCTTTACCAGCTCCACCCAAAGCTACATACTCAGCCTCAGTGCTTGGCAAGGCTACGGATTTCTGTTTCATGCTTTCCCATGATACAGCACCCCCTGTAAGATTTTTGATCTATTTTACAGTTTGTCCAGTCAGCATCAACATATCCTAGAATTTCACTGCATTTATTTTTGAAATACCTTAATCCAAAACCTTTTGTAGCCTGCAAATACTTTAAAACACGTTTTGCATAATTCCAATGAACCTCACAAGAATAATTGTTAAATTGACTTGAAAAACTGACTATATGTGCTATATTTGGACGTTTTTGTACTGCAAGATACATACTCCCAATCAATTTCTGATAAGGCAAATTTTTATCAGGATTATCACAAATATTTTCTAGACATACATTACTATCCAAAGTCGTACTAACTTCTTTACAATGAACCATATTAAATTATTATTAACAACTGATTGACATATTATTCTTTCTGATCTAGGAAAATTAAATTTTTATCCCTCCTAATCCTGACTCCTAAACACTGCCTAGCCTCTCCTAAGTCCTTAATTTTGAATATAGGTTTCAAATGTCAGTACTTTTTAAATCATTTGAAAAAATGAAAAATTCGTTAACATACAGGGTGAGTTACTAAACGCGCGGTGGTCTATATTTCCTATACTAACGGAGATCGAAGAAAAAACTAAATACAAAACTTATAGATCAACATGAGTACTACATTCCTAAATTATTTTCCAGTATACAGGGTGGCTTAATAACTAGTAGTGACACAACGGGTATGTTTTTTTTAATGACTCCCCCTGTATATTATGACATTTCTGGATTCTGTGTCATATGATAGTTTATAAAAAACTAAGATAGGAATGTAAAATCCGTTTTCTCGTAAAATAAACCCTTTAGGTTTCACAATCTGTCAAAGATGCAAAAAAGTCAATTTTCAAATGTCAATATTTCCGAAACAATTGAAGGTAGGTATATGACATTGAACATGAAATATGTCTAGAATTTTCCGCAGAATCCAGAAATGTCATAATATACAGGGGTAGTCATCTAAAAAAACCTAACTTTGTGTCACTACTAGTTATTGGGCCACCCTGTATACTAGAGAATAATTTAGGAATGTAGTACTCATGTTTTTCTACAGGTTTTGTATCCAGTTTTTTCTTCGATCTCTGCACAAAACATCCCCCCTTAGAAAGGTAAGTGCCGTGTTGAGAACCTGTCTATAAGTTTTCAGCGCCTCTAGTGACTGGGGGGATAAGCTTTTGTAATTCTGGATTTATTGGCGAATGCAAAACGCAATTAGGGTTCGTTCGGTATCTTATTCGTTCCGGTGGATCGTTTGCACCATTGTTTGATTCTAGCGATTCAACACCACCACTTTAAAGTTTCTACCATTTTTTGGCATAAAATAATTGTGCCAAAAAGAAGAAACTCATAAAATCGGTAGTGTTGAAGAGCCTTCAAGGTAAAATTGACTAAAAATTAAGATGACAAATTTAGATATTTATTAAAGTTTGAAACAGAAAATATTAAAGAATATGGAATTAATTACAATTATTGCGAAACAGTTTTTTTTCATGTAAGTATACATACATAGGTAGGTAATGCTAGTTAAGTTAAAGATAATAAGGACAGTTACAAGAAGTAATGACGTACATTTAACAATAGCTTGATGAAAAACTTAAATCGTAAATAAAATGACAAAAGAGGTCCTTTTCTCACAATCCAAAATCGTTGTTAATCTAACAAGTGAGGAAAGTGTTTCTGCACGTGATGGAAGTTGCACGAATGACAACAAAAAGCAGAGTTCAAACAAGCCTTTAAGTCCGGAAAATACACTTTCCGCATGTGTTAGGTAGAAAGTTTATGTAGTTATACATAATATAAAGCTCATTCAAGAAAATGATTTCGCCTGGATGATAGAATAAATATTTTTGATAATAGTCTATACCCTTTACCACTAGCTTTAAGCAAAGACAACGCCAACAACTTCTCGTCCAATGTAAGTCGTCTAGCTTTAGGCTTTTGGTTTTGAGTACGGACTTGGCTTAAAATAAAGCTGTATATCAATGGATTGATGTGGTCTACGAGCCTTTGAAATTTGGTTTATGATGCAAGTTATTCAGCAGTAGAAACTTTGGATTTAAATGACGACAACCTTCTACTGATTCTTCTTAACTTATTGCTGGATTCTATAACTTTGGAATAAAGATATTTTTCCCTTGGGGATAGGAATTTTTTGCCTAGTGACGTTAATGTTCTTTAAAATTTGGCATCGTCTCTCATGACCTGCAAAAAAAAAATAGATCAAGATTGGAGACGAGCTTTTCGCACATTTAGCTTCTAATTTTTCTAGCATTCGACTGCAAGTTTTAGTAATTAGTAGTCTTTTATAGTAGTAGTCCTACTTGAGTTAGGATGTTTTAAAATTCACCTACTCCCAAGTGGGTGGTTATTCATTAAGCAATAACACTTAGGTACCTACCAATAAAAGTTTTAAGAGACAAAGTTAGTTGGTGACTTTTTCATGTTTGCAGATGTGATGGTTCCACTTGGTGTAGCAATGTCTGCCTGAATTGCAGAAGTTTCAGTAGATAAAAATTGACGACATGAAGGGCCTGGTTGATCTAAAACAGAAATTTCGTTACCAATGATTCTACCAAAAAAGTTTGGATACATGCATTGTAGAATATGGTGTACCTGTATGTAACCAGGAATATTTTAATTATTGTGTCTCCTGATAAAGGAATAAATATTTTAAAAAAAGAAATGAATAATATTAGCTTTGTTCCAACACAGCAGAAAACCGTACAATGTACCGTCACGATTCTGCGCAGAAACTAAAATTGTTATACTGAGTGGTTTCGAAACCGTTCATGGGACGATTTTTTGACGTGTTGGAACAGAGTTATTATGTTTACCTACCTATGTCAATCATAGTTGCGAAACTAATTTCTGAAGGCGTCTTAGGACTCTTCGACGAGTTTCAACTGTGTCGATCTCCACTTTTTGCCATTTTGGTGATTGTGGTTTATCAATTAACGACTCCTCACTGTTTTTGATAATTGGGGCTAAAATTAAAATT